CCTTCAAGTAGATTTTACAGAAATGCCCACAATAGGGAGACGAAAGTATCTGCTGGCAATGGTAAACCACCTCTCCACCTGGGTAGGGGCCTCCCCCTCCCAACTGCCACCACCACGTATGTGGCCAAAATAATCTCACAACAAATTATACCCAGATTTGGCCTGGTAGAAAATATTGATTCAGACAACGGGAGCCACTTTACCTCGAGGGTGCTAAGGGGAATTCTGGAGGGTTTGTACATTAGATGGGTTACCACACCCCTTGGCACCCTGCTTCCTCTGGAAAAGTAGAAAAAAGGAATCGGACTCTCCAAAAGCGTATTTACTAAACTAATCTTAGAAACTAAAGTGCCTTGGACCAGACGTCTCCCCAGAGCAACTCCTGAGGATTAGTACAGCCCCGAGGAAAGGCCTGGGACAGTCCCCTTACGAGTTGTTATATGGACTCCCAGATTTAGGTGGGACTACTGACCTTCCTGCTATGAAAACCAAAGACGAATTTTTAAGAAATTATACACTGGCCATATCCTCCACCCTGTCATCCCTCCGGTTGAAAGGATTTCTGACTCAAACCCTGCCTCATGAGTTCACGGTTCACCACTTCCAGCCTGGCGAAGCTCCGCCCAAGCTGGGAAGGTCCCTACCAAGCTCTCCTAACCACTGAGACAGCCGTACGAACAGCTGGATAGGGGTGGACACATGGCACTCAGTCAAGAGACAGGTAAAAGAACTCCTGGAAGGAAGGGAAAGGGGAAATGGGAAGTGTACAGATCTCCTAAGGAACCCCTAAGCTAACTCTGAGGAAAACCTAGAAGGAAGCCACGAGCAGGCTCTGTCATTGGGGTGGACGTAGTTAGAATTAATCGGTACACAATTATTGGATGGAGCCTGGTAGAAGAATAGCCAATCAAACTAATAGTCAATATAGCTAGAACCTCCACCTCCCAGACCATAAGTTTTGATGCCTGCCAAGTCTTACCTTGTGGGAATTTAGGGAACCAAAGGCAGCTGTCATGAGCAAACAAATATCTATGTCCTGAAACAGGTCGCTACGGGGAAAGCCCTGTGCTAGCTGGAATGAGGTCTGGCGGACCACCCAATTTTGAGGCTGGGTGAGCCATTCTCCCAAAACCAAACCCTTAAAGAATAAAATACAGTTATATAAGAGCCCCACACCACCTAACTGTAGAAATTTAGAGTGCAATCCTATATTAATTAACATAAACACCCTAGCTACTCTAGACCAGGAACCTTGGAGGTATGGATCAGGAATAAGTATCTCAGGAAGGGATCCCGTGGAACAGTTAGCTTTCAGGCACGTCACCAACTCTACCCCGAGCCCACCCAGGATTACTGTAACTCCCGGTCCCACTACTTCCTTTAACCCACCGGACAATGCCCTAAGAGAGTAAAAATAACGAAGGTAACAGATTTGAGGCAGACTTTAGAAACTGAGACTGGATATGGGGATATCAATGCCTGGGCCTGATGGGTCAGATTTTCGGTACTAGCTCTTAATAAGAGCTACTGTCACGCATGTTCTGCTGGGCAGCCTCAGGCACAGGTGGTTCCAGTTCCCCCAGGATTGGATACCAATCCTGATGGAATGCAATGCATATTGGCTTTATACCAGGACAGGGATGCATGGGGAAATGAGATTTGCAAAAGTCTATCACTGCTCTTCCCGCCTTGTGAAAATCAGACATGAGAGCAATCCCCTCATCCTCCATAGGGAATACGAACCACTCCTCTTGCCTCTCTAGGCAGGGGGCAGAGTTCAATAAGGCTGTGGGAGAACTCTCAACTTGTACCCACATCTTAAACATTACTGGTGAGTCAAACAATGGCAACTACTCGGCTCTTCATACACCCCAGGCTGATGTCTGGTGGTAAGTGGGAAGAGGAACCTCTGTGACCTGTTACTGTCCAAATGGACTGGGACTTGTGCCTCAGTTCAACTGGCCATTCCATTCACCCTGGCATTCCATAAGATCCCCAAGAACCCCCATGGCCACCTAAGTCAGAGAGATCTAGCAGATTCTTTTGATCCCAATATTTATATTGACTCAGTAGGAGTCCTAGAGGAGCACCTAACGAACCGAAGACCCGAAACCACACAGCTGCTGGGCTTGCATCAGCACTCTTCTGGTGGTCAACTATTAATAAAAATGTAGACTGATGAATTGCATCTATTACAATCAACAAAGATTCATCACCTATACTCGAGATGCTCTCAAAGAAGTGGCTGGCCAGTTAGATGCCACCAACCAAATGGCATGGAAGAACAGACTTGCACTAGACATGATCTTGGCAGAGAAAGGGGCCGTACGCGTCATAATGGGCAGAAAGCATTGCACTTTCATTCCTAACAATACTGCCCCAGATGGAATCATCACAAAAGCATTACAAGAGTTAACAACTTTAGCCAACGAATTGGTGGAAAATGCTGGAATTGATGATTGGCTAGAGAGTTGATTGGCTAGAGAGCTGGTTCGGGAAAACGGAAAGGAATGGTCGCCTCCATTCTGACATCCCTTATAATAGGGGCTGGAGTCCTGAGAGCTACAGGGTGTTGCATTATCCTCCATGTTAAAGGGTTAACCCAAAAATTAATTGAAACAGCCATCAACAAACAAATACCCATAACATATCAACTATTATTAGAAACCAAATCAGATCTACTCTGTTATGATGAAGACAGTCAACAGCTTTTGAAATGATGTGAGGAACAAAGGACACAAAAATAAATGTGGAAATGGGACTAACAGGAGTAAAAAGAGAAAGAGGAGGGAATTGAAGGAAATAATGTATACAGTGGTCCATTTCCAAGACAAAGTGCCTTGAATCGGCTTAGGTCAACAAACTACAGAAGAAACAGGATGTACTAGGCCCCTGCTTGGATAGCCAACGCCTGCTTCTCGGCACCCCCCACCCCTTAGTTGCCCTCACCCGAACCAAAGAGGTTTAGTCTAAGATGAAAGTTTACTGGCCTAAAAATATCTCGTTTTGTCTGTTCTTATCAGCCTGCCCAGCTACTTAGGTCATAAGTCAAATACTGGAAGAGCCCCTGAGCTGACTGGGAGTGCAATGCATTGTGGGCCGCAACAAAATGCAGCAGGACAACCCCAAAGAAAACACCTACAGCCCCTGCCCAACAACCAATAGGCGACCTCCAGAAAGACTGTGACCCCCCCCCCCACAGTACTCAGCCTATGAGGAAGCGGGGGCGGGACCTGCACCCTACACCCCCTACCCAACAACCAATAGGTGAAGTCTGGGAAGGCTGTGACCGCCCCCCCCCCCCCACAGTACTCAGCCTATGAGGAAGTGGGGGCGGGACCTGCACCCTGCAGCCCCTACCCAACAACCAATAGGTGAAGTCCGGGAAGACTGTGACCCCACAGTACTCAGCCTATGAGGAAGTGGGGGCGGGACCTGCACCCTGCAGCCCCTACCCAACAACCAATAGGTGAAGTCCGGGAAGGCTGTGACCCCCCCCAAAGTACTCAGCCTATGAGGAACTGGGGGCGGGACCTGTGCACTAGGGGATAAGAGGCTAGCTGTAACCGTGCTGGGTGTGCCTGCCCACCAGACACCCAATCTTGCAAAACTGTGTTTAAAAGTCTCATTTCCACTGTTCTCTGAGTCCATTCTTTGGGTTTGTTTCTCACATGGTGAACAGTGAATCGGCTATGTCACAACACAAGTTTCATCTTTCCTATTAGGTCCTAGGAGCCTCATGTGAGGATGGGGGATCTCTGGAAGTGCTGTTTATGACTTCAGTGAGAAAGTCTACCACTCTGATTACCTCATTTAGAGATTTGATGTCATGGTAGTAAAATTTATACTGACATTTGTCTTCTGAAAGCTATAAGCAGTTATCAAGTTTCTTCATTAAGCCTGAAGACCTCTGGAATTTCCTCCTTCTCCCATTATGCATAAAGGTAACAGAAACCTCAGGGCTCTGCTGGATCCGTAATTCAGGGCTGAGGATATCTGTTCATTAAAAGTGACACCTGTGTAACAGGAGCCAGGACAAGGCAGGTCCCCATGACCAGTGCCTTATCCTAGATGTCAGCAGGAAGGAAAGAGCGAGACCAGTGCTGCCCTGACAGCAAAGACAAGGCAAATGTAGAGTTTATAACTTAAGCAGCCACTAAAAATCTAAATATGTAGCTCTGGTAAAAGCACTCAAAAATGTCAATCTGGCCAGGTGCGGTGGCTTACACCTGTAATTCCAGCACTTTGAGAGGCTGAGACAGACAGATCACCTGATCTCAGGTGTTCAAGACCATCCTGGGCAACATGGTGAAACCCCATCTCTACTAAAAATACAAAAAGAAAGTCAATCAATATCATAACCGTGTTTCAGACACTGAACTTTCACGTTATTCATTTTTACAATAAATGATGTGAAAATGTGATCGTTCCCACATTCCAGATTAAACCAAATGAGGTTTAAGGAAATTCTGTGAGTCCCAGCAGGGACAGGTGCTGCAGGGGGAACCCTCAACTGTCTAACATCAAAGCTGTGCCCTCACAGAAGCTTTCTCTAGAAATCATAGGGACAAGACAGCATCTACTGCGGACTGACCCGGAGAAGGGCCGGGCACGAAGTAAAACCAGTGTGTAACATGAGCAAAACCATGGGTGAGAACAAAGTTTTTAACTGTTAATGTTGCCTGATTTTCTTTAAGGTTTTGTGTTTTAATTAAGAGTTCAAGGGTGTTTGGCAGTAGTTACTACCACAGGTTTTGAGAGGTGAACTGCAAGGAAGAGAACAGACGCCTTCATCTAAATAGATGCACTATTTCCATGGGTTGGTCCCCATCATGAAATTTCCCATTTTGTTGTGATCGGCATATGAAACTATGAGTTAGCCTTTCCTCTATTTCATTTTAGAATTCATCACTTCCAAAGAGAAAGAAGCCTACAAATAAAGCCCGGGGTAGATTCCCATTTCTGCCTCCCAACACAGCCAGAGGAGCAGCCCCACTTACTTGAAGGCTGGGGATTCTAAAGACCTCCTCCAAATGGCACAGACCACTTTCACTCAAGTCTAAAATCGGTGAGGAGGAAAAGATGATGCCTCCAACACACTTGTGAACATCTTTGGATGGGGTGGCAGGCAAGCTCCTAGTCTGACCAGCACCCTCCTCCAGATCAGCAGCAGCCACAGAGGGAACTGTGTAGGAGCCGCTTCCCTCCATCCGTTCTCTTCCAGGGACAGCAGCTCATCCTCCTTGGTCTGGAGTCACCTGGAGACACAGGAAGGGAAGATGTAGAAACAACTAATTATACTGAGGCAAAACAGAACAGCTATGTGGCAGATCTGCAGTAATTTAACTTGCTTTAAAAGCTGTCATTTTTCATAAGCTGTAGCAAAAATCTGACTTTTAAACATGTAAAAAAAAAAAAAAGAAATACAAAGAGGTTCAGATTAAAATTCTCTGCTTTCACTTTGTACAATCGAGTTCCAAGATTTAACTCCTGGAAAACGCAAAGGCGCACAATAAATAGAAATGATCATTTTAGGGATATAAACAGATCAGAACACTTCAAAGCCTGTAAATCAACTGTACCGCTTCCATGAAATGATTGGGGGGGTGAAGTTTGCACTGTTTCTTATCTCTGGTGTGGTTCTGTGCCTTTTGAAATATGTTTTTAGTTCCTTGAGGCCAGGAAGCCTGTCTTTTGTTTACCATTTTGGCCCAGTGACCAGAACTAAGTCTGGCTAACACCCAGTTAAGCACCGGGGAAAAACCTGTTAAATTAAGAATCTTGAATTTTCGTTGTCCAGCAACACTTTTACTCAGAACTATTGTTCACCAAAACCTCATTCAGCGAGGCACACTTCCACTTGCAATTTCCAAACAATTTATTCGGCAATAAGAATCAACGTTGGAATGCACCAGTTCATCTAATTCAAATCACTCAACCGCCCAATGATTGGCACATGTGTGTGTACTTCATTCCCGTTTTAAGGAGGAGGAGGCTGAGGCGTAGATCAGTTAGGGAACTGCTGCAGGGGCGCAGTTAATTGGGAGGTAGCGGCGACACTGAGACCCAACAGGGTTCGACCCCAGGCGGCCTATATTCCATGGAAGCCTGTGGGCTTTTTCACGGTCAGTTCACTTGTTTTCTCCGAATCACGGAACTTAAAACAGAGGACGGGAGGCTTCAAACCTCGCAACAGGGAAAATATCTTAAAACCAGAAGTGAAACGACAGCCTGGACTTACACAGCGCCCAGGCAGCGCGGGCTCAGTGGGGTTTCCGAGGCTGCCTTCAAGGGATCCCCACGCACGCCCACCCCTGCTCCCTGCCTCAGTTTCCCCATCCGGGCGAGGCAGAGTTGGATCCGACGACGCTCTGGGCCTCACATTCCAGGCCTGAGGAGTGTGGCCTTTGCCGTCAGCATCGGGGCTGGAGCTACGCGTCAGGGCACAAGGGGCCGCGGCACCACCTTCCTGCCACCGCCCGCCTCGAGGGCCCAGGGAGCTGGCCGTGCCCGCCCGTCTCACCTGCCGCTCCCCGGCCCACTGGAGCGCTGGCGAGTCACGCCGCCGAGAGCTGCAGCCCAACAATGGAGGCCACCCAGACAACGCGGTCGCCATGGAGACGCCGGTACCGAAGCCCGCAGGCGCCAACCCGAGCGTGGGTGTGTCCGTGGTGCGCCTGCGCGAGGGGTGTGCTGCGCCTGCGCGCGGGGGTGTGCCTGTTGTGGCGGTTTGTGCCCGTTTGCGGGGGCGGGTTGTGGTGCGCCTGCGCGGGGAGGGGTTGCTTGCGCCGGCGGGGGGGAGGTTGTGGTGCGCCTGCGCGGGGGCACGGGTGTGGTGCGCCTGCGCACGCACGCGACCAACGGCAGCATCCGTTTTTCCGCGCCAGCTGCGGCGGAGGGGCGGTGACCGACGGGCAAGTAGAGACCCAGGGGGTTTGGAGGGGCGAGCGGCCTGGCACAGAGGGGAAGGAAGACAGCAGGATGCTGAGTGCTGTCTGGGGAGCCGGAGGGCCCGGGGCGGGCGGGGCTGCTCGAGGACAGCCGAGCAGAAAAGAATTGGTGCTGAGGCACCACCTTTGGAGCCGCCCTCGCTGCCTGCCCTTCCCGCTGGGCTCACTCCCAGCTTCTCTCCTGGGGCTTCCTGGAGTCACTTCCCACGTGAGCTGCTTGTCCCCAAATCTTGCCTCAGGGCTTGCTCTCAGGGGAACGCAGACTCAGACCGTCCTCCTTGGAGAAGTAAGGCTCCTCTGCTGAGTCTCCTGCCGTGGACGGAGGAGTGAGGGGGGCGAGGAAACGCAGTGAGTGTCCTGAGGAAGGGTTTTGAGAATTCGTGAGATGATGAAATGACACGGGCGGAAGGGGAGGTGCTTCGTGGTCATGTGGAACCCTGTAGTCCCGTGCACCTTCATTCCTGGATCCAGCTGTTAATGAAAAGTAGCACCCTCCATCCCGTCCAGAAACACTCTTGAAACCCGGACAGTTTAGCTAGAGCCAGCCATAATTTCTTTTTTTTTTTTTTTTGAGATGGAGTCTTCCTCTGCCTCCCAGGCTGGAGTGCAGTAGCATGATCTCGGCTCACTGCAACCTCCGCCTCCCAGGTTCAAGCAATTCTCCTGCCTCAGCCTCCCCAGTAGCTGGGACTACAGGTGCCTGCCACCACGCCCAGCTAATTTTTGTATTTTTAGTAGAGACGAGGTTTCACCATGTTGGCGAGGCTGGTCTTGATCTCCTGACCTCGTGATCCGCTCGCCTGGGCCTCCCAAAGTGCTGGGATTACAGGTGTGAACCACTAGGGGCCGGCGTGATTTCACCTTTTTAAGGAAACAACATATATGGAGAAACGACTACCCACTTAGGGGAGTTACATTTTATTTTTGTGAAGATCACAATAAGAAATGTTTTCAGGCCGGACACGATGGCTCATGCCTGTAATCTCAGCACTTTGGGAGGCCACGGTGGGAGGATCACTTGTGGCCAGGAGTTTGTGACCAGACTGGGCAACCCAGTCTCTACAAAAAATTAAAAAAAAAAAAAGTGGTGTGGTGGCACACACCTGTAGTTCCAGCTGTGTGGGAGGCTGAGGCAAGAGGATCGCTTGAACCTAGGATTTTGAGGCTGCAGTGAGCTATGATTGTGCCACTGAATGTCAACCTGGGTGACAGAGCGAGACCCTGTCTCAAAAAAAACGTTTTCGTACGTACCCAACTATCGTACCAGTCAGGAAGCTGAAGGCACAACCAGTACCTTCCCAGGAGCGTGGGGAGGCCAACCTCCCGGGCAGAGCAAGGAGAGAATGGGGAGTGGCGTGGGTGGTGCCGTGGGCAGCAGCGAGAGGGGTGGAAGATTTCAGCGCAATGCTGTTTCTAACAAGGTTCAGCATTCCACTATCTCTTTTCACAAATAAAACATTTACCAACAATTTGAGCCTGTTCCCTCTTGCTTGGTATTGTTGCCTCAGGTTTTTGTTGCACATTTTTCATGCTAAATTAATTTTTGTAGTCAGTAGTTAATTGTTTGTACGAGAATGTTTTGCCCTTTTCTGTTCTCAGTTTTTACCCAGGCAGATCACATCCATTGGTAGCCTTTTGGCAAGCATTCTTGGGTGAGCCTCCCAACGTAGGAACAAATAAGTGTTCATTTTGATCTGATTATTGAGTGGCTATAAAGCTGGTGCGGCATGTGGTGGTTTTAGGACCTTCCTCTGGGGCAGCAACTGCTGCTACCCTGCCGAGAAGTTTGCTGCCCGTGGCATTGCCACTTCCATGAAGGAAATCTGTCTTCTCTTTTCATGTCTTTGTTCTGAAATTCTGCTGTGGTATTTCTTGAGTGTGGGTTGGTTTGGCTATGCTGCCTGGCGCTGGCCGTCTCTTCTCACCTGAGATAGCAAGGTTCCCGGCCATCTGTCCTCCCGTGGCACCTCTGCACCCTGATGGAATTCTTGTTCTGGGATCTCCTAAAAGGGAGTACCCACTCAGTGTCTTGTCCATCTCTCAAACTGCGCTTCCCAATGTTGGCCTCTGTGTTCTGGGTTTACGATCTTCCTGTTTACTAGCTCTCTGTCCGTCCAATTAGTTTGTTTCATCGATTGAGTTTTTAAATGAAACTGCATTGGTCTATATTTCTAATTTTCTTTTTTGTGTTCATTTGTTCTTATTTCTTCCAGTTTTTGTTTTATAATGTTTTTAATGTTCATTGCTGTTTTCTTTCTTTATCTACCATGAGAATCCTAAGCACATCTATTTATTTATTTTATTTATTTTTTGAGGTAGGGTCTCAGTCTGTCACCCAGGCTGGAGTGCAGTGGTGTGATCTTGGCTCACTGCAGCCTTTGCCTCCCAGATTCAAGCAATCCTCCCACCTCAGTCCCTCAAGTAGCTGAGACTGCAGGCATGTGCCACCATGCTGGGCTAATTTTTGTATTTTTTGTAGAGACGGGGTTTTAGCATGTTGCCTAGGCTGGTCTCGAACTCCTGAGCTCAAGCCATCCACCCGCCTCGGCCTCCCAAAGTGCTAGGATTACAGGCGTGAGCCACTGCCAGGCCTGAGCCACTGCCTGGCCTAGACACACTTATTTTAAACTGTGCTCTATTGTTTTCTGGGCTGAATTTACCAGTTGATGCCTGATATTGTTATCTGTCTTCTTGGAGTCCTGTGTTTTGAAATCTAGGCTTGCAGGCTTCTGCAAAGGGGGTTATGTTCTGTTTCCCTGGGTATTCACTGTGTGTCATGCTCTGGCAGGAGCCTCCGTCCAGCCTTTTGGGGTCATGCTTGGGTGCTTGCCTGGCCTTCCCGTTGGGAGCTGTAGATCCAGTCCTGGAGCCAGCAAGAGGCTGGGCCGAGGGCTGTCCTCGTCTCCATCCCCAGATATCGCTGCAGAAGTTGTATGTTTTTCCACATTCCTTTCATGGAAGTGAAACTGCCTTAGAAAATTATAACTGAGGAAATTATGATAGTGAAAGAGATCAGACCTAACCGACTCCATCTTGCTTCTAACTTAAGCTGTCCTTGTTCATTCCTGGGCGTAGGCCGAACTAACGTTGGGAAGGAACTCTGAAACAAAATGGGTAACAGCCCTTTCCCGAAAATACCCGCTTCTTGCCCAGGGACCCGTCTGTCTTTGCAGGACTGACAAATTAGCTACAGTATTAGAAATTACAGGTTAGGGGTCCTGCGACTCTGGCTCCAAGAGTCTAAACCTCCCCAAATTGCTCCTGGGTATAACATCATTATTGTAAAACCCTAGATCAGAGCTTGAGATATTTTGCAAACCCAGCACTCCATAGATCAGCTGACACCACCCAGACCCATAATCTGGCTCCACCGGTTCTGGCGCCCACCCGGGAGTAGAAAACAGCAAGGAAACCTCACTTCAGCCCCCTATGATTCCATCTCCAACCTGACCAGTCAGCACTCCACATGTCCCAAAGCCCCACCCTCCGAATTAGCTTTAAAACTCTGATCCCAGAATGTGCGGGGAGACTGAGTAATAGTAAAACTCCAGTCTCCTGCACAGCCGGCTCTGCTGTGACTCTTTCTCCATTGCAATTCCCCTGTCTTGATAAATTGGCTCTGTCTAGGCAGCAGGCAAGGTGAACCCATAGGGCAGTTACAGAGGCAAGAGACTTACTCCAGCCCTGGTTTTCAGCAATGCTCTTGGCTGTTCTCCACTCCTCTCAGGCACTTTCTGCCCCTCACTCTTCAGGGACAGCCTTCCCAAGCACCTTTCCCTGTTTCTGGGACCAGAGCCCCCACAGGCCCAAAGTCTGGGTCCTGTGAGCTGCTATGTGTTTCCGATTCATTTTTGGTCTATGGACTGTTGTTGGTTTTTAAATTTGTCTTTTAAAAATTATCTATCATAGGCCAAGCATGATGATGGCTCACACCTGTAATCCCAGTGCTTTGGGAGGCTGAGGCGGGCAGATCACCTGAGGTCAGGTGTTTGGACCAGCCTGATCAACATGGCGAAACCCCCGTCTCCACTAAAAATACAAAAATTATCTGAGCATGGTGGTGCATACCTGTAGTTCCAGGTACTCGGGAGGCTGAGGCAGGAGAATTGCTTGAACCTGGTAAGCAAAGGTTGCAGTGAGCCGAGAGCGTGCCACTGCACTCCAGCCTGGGTGACAAAGCGAGACTCCATCTCAAAAAAATTTTAAAAATAAAAATTAAAAAAATAAAAATTACCTATTGTAGCCATGGGTGGGGAGAATTGTGGGAGGGCCTCTGTATTAGTTTGTTTTTATGCTGCTGATAAAGACATACCCGGCCGGGCGCGGTGGCTCAAGCCTGTAATCCCAGCACTTTGGGAGGCCGAGACGGGCGGATCACGAGGTCGGGAGATCGAGACCATCCTGGCTAACACGGTGAAACCCCGTCTCTACTAAAAAAATACAAAAAACTAGCCGGGCGACGTGGCGGGCGCCTGTAGTCCCAGCTACTCGGGAGGCTGAGGCAGGAGAATGGCGTAAACCCGGGAGGCGGAGCTTGCAGTGAGCTGAGATCCGGCCACTGCACTCTAGCCTGGGTAGCAGAGTGAGACTCTGTCTCAAAAAAAATAAATAAATAAATAAATAAAAGACATACCCAAGACTGGAAAGAAAAAGAGGTTTAATGGACTTACAGTTCCACATGGCCGGGGAGGCCTCACAAGCATAGTGGAAGGTAAGGAGGAGCAAGTCACATCTTAAATGGAGGGCAGCAGGCAAAAAGAGAGAGAGCTTGTGCAGGGGACTCACCTTTTTAAAACCATCAGATTTCGTGAGACGTGTTCACTATCACGAGAACAGCCTGGGAAAGACCTGCCCCCATGATTCAGTTACCTCCCGCTGGGTCCTTCCCGTAACGCATGAGAATTCAAAATGAGATTTGAGTGGAGACATAGCCAAACCGTATCAGTCTCTAAGCTTGAACTTGCAATACCATCTTGCCTGGAGAAAGTAATATTTTCCAAAACAGGAAATAAAACAGTTTTACTCTGCTTTAGTTTTTTATGTAATACCTTATTGTGAAGCTGCCATAAATTATGTGTGATGTTTTTCCAATAATTAATATTCTTCTACATTGTAAACCAAAAACAAAATTCTAAGTCCCCCAACCAACTGAATGAACCCGTCTTCTCAGTCAAGGGGATTCCAAAGAAACCTGAAAAACTAGGTCAGACCATTACAAGCAGTGAAGGATTGGGCATGCTTCATGATACTACTCTCCTTTTTGGGGGTTAGGCAAAGTCACCAGCATTAACATTAAAATAGAGATCTTGGCTGGGTGAGGTGGCTCACGCCCGTAATCCCAGCACTTTGGGAGGCCAAGGCAGGCAGATCACTTGAGGTCAAGAGATCGAGACTAGCCTGGCCAACAAGGGGAAATCCCATCACTACTAATAGTATAAAAATTAGCTGGGCGCGCACCTATAATTCCTGCCACTTGGGAGTCTGAGGCACAAGAATTACTTGAACCCAGCAGATGAGGTTGTAGTGAGCCGACAATGCACTACTGCACTCCAGCCTGGTGACAGAGTGAAACTGTGTCTCAAAAATAAAAATAAAAGAGATCTTAAGACTGACAGAATAGACTGTAGCAATAAGATACCAACTCCAACTGACTCTGGCATGATATCACATGGCAGATAAAGAAGGAAAGCAAGATAATTACCCCCAAATTTGTTTCTTTTCCATAACTTGAAATGGTCCTGCAAAGCTGTGTTCTGTGGGGCAGAGATTTGTATCTGTAAAGAATCTGTAACATAACTAGATCTTTACCCTTCCAGGCCTTCCCAATCCTGAAGAGATGAACTGAAAGTCTAGCATCTTTTAAAGATCAACACAGGAAACCGTGTTAGTCCATTTTCACGCTGCTAATAAAGACATACCAGCCGAGTACCGTGGCTCATGCCTGTAATCCCAGCACTTTGTGAAGCCAAGGCAGGCGGATCACGAGGTCAGGAGATTGAGACCATCCTGGCTAACACGGTGAAATCCCATCTCTACTAAAAATACAAAAAAAATAGCCGGGTGTGGTGGCAGACACCTGTAGTCCCAGCTACTTGGGAGACTGAGGCAGGAGAGTGGCATGAACCTGGGAGGCGGAGCTTGCAGTGAGCCGAGGTCGTGCCACTGCACTCCAGCCGGGGCAACAGAGCGAGACTCTGTCTAAAAAAAAAAAAAAAAAGACATACCAAAGACTGGGCGATTTACAAAAGAAAGAGGTTTCATTGGACTTACAGTTCCACCTGGCTGGGGAAGCCTCACAATCATGGCGGAAGGCAAGGAGGAGCAAGTTGCGTCTTACCTGGATGGCAGCAGGCAAGAACTTGTGCAGGGAACTCCTCTTTTTTTTTTTTTTTTTTTTTTTTTGAGACGGATTCTCGCTCTGTCATCCAGGCTGGAGTGCAGTGGCATGATCTCGGCTCACTGCAAGCTCTGTCTCCCGGGTTCAAGCCATTCTGCTTCAGCCTCCCGAGTTGCTGAGACTACAGGTGCCCGCCACCACGCCTGGCTAATTTTTTATATTTTTTAGTAGAGACAGGGTTTCACCATGTTAGCCAGGGTGGTCTTGATCTCCTGACCTCGTGATCCACCTGCCTTGGCCTCCCAAAGTGCTAGGGTTACAGATGTGAACCAGTGCGCCTGGCTGGGGAACTCCTCGTTTTAAAACCATCAGCTCTCATGAGACTTATTCACTGTCATGAGAACAGCACGGGAAAGACTTGTTCCCATGGTTTGATTACCTCCCACCGGGTCCCTCCCACAACACGTGGGAGTTCAACTTAAGATTTGGGTGGGAACACAGCCAAACCATATCAGAAATGTCAGAATTTACCATCAGTTGTCTCTAATGGTAGCCACCAATGAGACTTCATCTACTAATGAGAACCTTGGTCTCCACAACCCTTTATCTTAACCCAGACACTCTTTTCTGTTGATTCATTCCAGGTCTTTAGATAATAATTATTTCAACCTATTGTCAATCAGAAAATCTTTGAATCCACCTATGACCTGTAAGCTTACTCTCCTGCATCTCTCCCCATCCCACTTTCAGTCGTCCTATCTTTCTGACCAAACCAATGTATACCTCACATGCACTGATTGATGTCTTATGTTCCCGTAAAATGTATAAAACCAACTTGCAACCCAACCCCCTTGGGCACATCTCAGGGTCTCTTGAGACTGCCTTGGGCCATAGTCACTCGTATTTAGCTCAGAAATAAACCTCTTGAAGTATTTGACAGAACTTGATTCTTTGTCAACAACATCAAAAGAAAGGCAGTCTTTTTTTTTAAATGTAAAATATACTTTATAGAAAGTTGAATGTAAGGACAATACACATTTCTATATAAGTTTACAGATTTCAAAATGGCCTAAAATTGTTTTTTGGAAGATGTTCAAAATGCTGCTGGCAGCTGATTCCATTTCTGCTGTGCTGTGCCTGCTAAACCAATCATCATATACAATGTGACAACTGAAATACATTGCTCTTCCTTGAAAAGAGTTCAGACTGCAAAGTGAAGATGACCTCTGTTTCCTCATGTAGGTCTTCTGAGAGCACAACAGGACTGGGATTGTGCCGGGAAGATGTGGAATGGTGTGGAAAGACAAGCTGCAGCCTTCAGGCTGCCATGGAAAAGCTGGGGGTGTGTTCTGTGGCCCATCAGGAGGGGGTGTGTGATGAATTATTAACGGATTTCTCAGATGAGCCAAAGTGGCGAACTTGTCTCAGTACCCAGGGAGACTCAGCCTCATCCCCAGCTCTTGGCCTCCACTTTCCCAGCTGCTGTGGTTGGAGTGGGTCCCCGGAATTCATCTGTTGGAAATTTGGTCCAGGTGTGGGGGTGTTGGGAGGTGGGGTCTTTAAGGTGTGGTTAGGCCATTAAGAGATTCAGGCTGCTCTTTAGGGACTCTGGGCTAATTCTTGAGGGAGTGAGTGGGTTCCCACTCTCTCCGGACAGCATTAATTTCCACAAGGTTGGGTTATTATAACATGAGGCCATCCCTCATGTTTTGTCCCACTCCCTCTTCCACTTTCCTTCCGTGTCATGATGCAGGACAAAAGCACCACCAGAAGCTGTTGCCGTGCTCTTGGGCTTCCCAGCCTTCAAAACTGTGAGTGAAGTAAACATCTTTCCTGTATAAAGCATAACCCAGTCTCAGGTATTCTTTATAGCAACAGAAAATGGACTTAGACAGTGGTCTTGAGACTTGGGTGCAAAATGGTTTATCTTTATCCATCACCCCATCCCAAGCCAATTTCATTGCCTGTAAGCCTCTAATCCCCATGCACCCCACCTTCTATCTTAATTCTTTAACTTGAATTCATGTACCTAACATATAGACAGGTTTTGGGGATTCAGACATTGACATCTGTGAGGGCCATTATTCTGTCTACCACAATTAGATCAGCACATCTTTTGGAAAGGAACTATCTATTGGAGGAAATACATTGATGAGGTGCCAGGGTGGGCAACAGTGTGTGAACATTGGTGTTGGCCTAGGCCAGTGAGAACGCTAGGGATGGAGTCTTAAGCCAGCCAGTGATGGCCCTATTCAGTCCATACAGTTAAGAGAGATCAAGGATGAGTGACCTGGAAGCCAAGGGCAAGCGCCCCAGTAATAATCATGATTCCTGGCCCATTTCCAGACTTGAGCCAGGTTTTGGACCCAGAATGCATTGTGCAAGGAGAAATTGATTTGGTGGAAAATTACATGGTAAGTCTATTGTAAGGGGGAGGAAGAATTCCCAAGAGGTTGAACGAAAACTAAGCAACTGAAAAAGTCATTATTTCAGGAAGGACAAGCAGTAGGACAGGAAGTAATCAGTACACAGAATGAAAGGGTGGCGAGTCCCACTCAGGGCAGCACTCAGACCAGGGAAGAGACGCCCTCTTGCCCTGGGCTTTGTGTTTTAGGGGCCTGCATTTCACAGACACAGAACCAGGTGTCTGTTCTTTTTGGTTTCGTAAAACACTCTGGGATTGAGTAAGTGATCAAATGTGATCGGGAGAGGGACGCATGAACCAAACCGGCCCCTGGGCCAAAGAGAATGGGGCTGAGACATGCACATGTTCGTGGAGAGAGGAGAGAACCACGACCTCCATGCCAGGACACTGGAGGAAGAACAGTGGCCACTGCAGATCACCCCAAGTGGGTGTCAGGCGGGAGGGCTTCCCGATCAGGGTGCCGCCTCCCCCTGCTGGGTGGTATGGTCCTGGGAAGGGCTTAGTAATTCCAGGGCTTCTCAGATGCTGGCAACATTTTACTTCCTGTGCTGGTAGTTACACTGGCATGTTTCCATTGTGAAATTTGGTTGAGATGCATGCCCATTACCTGTGTAGTTTCCCACAGGTATGCTATGCAAGAGTTTATACACATCCTTAGGAGAAAATGTCAGGGAATTTTACTTTGTTCTTAGGCTAAGAAAGGATTTCTTAAACAAGATATAAAAATACCATAAAAATAAATATTGATAAATTCACTATACTAGAAATACTCCTGTTCATCAGAAAGATACCACAAAGAAAATTAAGTCAGCCAAAAACTGAGAGAAGGTATTGACGATTCTTATATCCAGTGAAGATCAGTTCCAAAATCTATAATCCGATAAAGATAGCATTCCTGTGATTCAATAGGGAAAATATAGATACACATTTACAGTAATAGATAAAAAGATATAAACCAATAGCTCACAGTAGAGGAGAAATAAATGGCCAATAAAAATATAAAAGATGTTTCACTTTACTAGCTGTCAGAGAAATGCAATTTGATCCAAGATTGTATTTCAGATGAATGAGTCTTAACACTCACTCAGCTGGCACCAGCAAAGCAGCTGCCGTGTGTTGGTGAGCTGGTGAAGCCCACGGAACCCGCTGCCGTGAGAGGGCGTTTGTCAGTATCTTGGGAGCATCTGGGGACTCCTGTGCAGGGTTGAATTCTCAAGTGCAACAGCCCCACAATTCCCCCTTTGGACTCTTCGGTAGAGAAACAGATGGAGGCATGCGCCAGGACACAGGTGCCAAAATGTGCCCTGCAGGATCATGCATTTAAGCAAAAGCACTGGAAAGGCCAGGACAAGAGAAAGCACAAATACATCACAGTGAAGCCAAACAAGGAAGCATATCACAACCTCAAAATGAATGAACAATAGTTGCTCGCAACAATGAGAAAAAGTCTTAGAAACAGCTCTTTCCAGAAAAAAAAAAGTGGGAGACCTCATACAGTATGGCACATTTTTACGAGGTTTATAAAGCCAAGAAAAACTAGATGGCACATTGCATGTGTGAATTATAAAATTCTAAAACCAGAAAAAATTCCAGGAACGTCCCACAATCCAGGCTGGGGAGGGGGCAGGTAGGGGATGGTGGGGGGTGTGCAGGGTGGGTGCTATTGCCGAACGTGTCCTCCGCTTTCATGCTGATTAAAGGTAAACACAGCCCGTCGCCACAGTGGTGAGGGCAGATTGTGATGAGTCATAGCTGTGGCAATGGAGAAGAGTCCAGCATGACCTGACTCAGCTTGAATCTGCACAGCAGTGACGGGGGGTTTTAAAGGGACAGGGAGGGGTGGGGGTCCGCTGGGGCTCAGGAGAGCCGGGGAGGTGAAAACTTAGAGTGGGAAGTGGGTGGGTCCACAGGAGACCTGTCTATAATAGGTTTGTTGACTGCAGTTATGGAAGTGAGGCCCCACCCCTGCAGAGGCTGGGGCATAGGGCCGTATTCTCAGGGGTTGCTGGAGCCAACAAGAGATCCTTTTGGCAGCTTAAGATTTCTCAGGCAGGCATTTGAGGGACTGGGTCACCCTAGGGATGCAGCCTGGAGTTCTTAGAAATGAAGTTGGCGTCTGTTCAGTCCTTCGTGGGCCATGTTGAAGCCTGGTGGAGCAGAGGGCCTGGAGGAGCCTGGCTTGTGTGGAGTCAAGGGCAGACTTGATGTTCTAACCCCTGGCTCCTCAGAGTGTGACTATATTTGGAAATAGGGCTCCCTGTCCCCAGGAAGGCCAAGTCCTTGCCGCCATTGTGATTTCTTACAGTCCTGGAACATCTGGCTGTCCTCACCCTCTGCTGGAATCTGTAAATTATTGGTCCACCTTATCTGTCCATCTTACAATAAATGACATCTCCATACCCTGCCATGGCCTTGGGGTGGGTGCAGTGCACCTCACCGTCCTGGGACTGGCTTGTCGTGTGGTTTGTTTGGCCAATGGGATGTCAGGTGGGAGGGAGCAGAGAGGCCCAACTGGAGAGTGGGATGGAACATGGTGAGGCCCGACTGGTCAAAGGGATGTTGGGGGGATGCCAGCAAGGTGGGCCCTGTATGCCCTCCGACAGCTACCCTCTTGTACCTTTGCATGTTCATGGGAGGCACATGGCGACCTGCTTGTCCCAGAAGAATGAGACATCCATGGAATAGATGTGAGCTGCATCTGTGGCCCAGAGCCAAGGCTGACCAAGCCCAGCCAAGCCCAGCCAATCCCAGCCCACCTGCAGAGTGAGAGATAAATGCTTGGCGTTCATGTTACTAACTTTGGGGTGGTTATGTAGAATTACATTGAGACTAGCCAACTGGAGTTACGTCACCCTCCACATAGCCTGCTGGGACAATGTCTCAGATGACCCAAGGCCAACTCCCCAGAGGGTCCCCAAACTAGTCCCAGGCCAACATGTGCCTTCTGTAAACAGAGCCACTTAACTCACTCTCTGGTCTGTAACCTCTTTAAAAATTCCATCTAAGGGCCAGGCATGGTGGCTTACACCTGTAATCCCAGCACTTTGGGAGGCTGAGGTGTACAGATGGCTTGAGTTCAGAAGTTTGAGACCAGCCTGGCCAAGATAGTGAAACCCCATCTCTACTAAAAGTACGAAAAATTAGCTGGGTGTGGTGGCAGGCACCTGTAATCCCAGCTACTGCTGAGGCAGGAGAATCGCTTGAACCTGGGAGGTGGAGGTTGCAGTGAGCCTAGATCGTGCCATTACACTCCAGCCAGGGCGACAATGTGAGACTCCATCTCAAAAAAAAAAAAAAAAAAAAAAAAAAGGCCGGGCGCGGTGGCTCAAGCCTGTAATCCCAGCACTTTGGGAGGCCGAGATGGGCAGATCGCGAGGTCAGGAGATCGGGACCATCCTGGCTAACGTGGTGAAACCACGTCTCTACTAAAAAAATACAAAAAAACTAGCCAGTGAGGTGGCGGGCACCTGTAGTCCCAGCTACTTGGGAGGCTGAGGCAGGATAATGGTGTAAACCCAGGAAGCAGAACTTGCAGTGAGCCGAGATCCGGCCCCTGCACTCCAGCCTGGGCAACAGAGTGAGACTCTGTCTCAAAAAAACAAACCAAAACAAACAAACACAAAAACACAAAAAAATCCATCTAAGGTGCAATAGATCAGTTTTATATTATGTAAATTATGCCTCAATAGAGATGACAAAAGGAAGGGGGGGGGAAAAACCCTTGGCCACAAGCCATTGTGAAGACAAAATACCAAGATTTTTATTCAATGTGCAGTAAATTTATACCATCCCCACACTCCCACTTTAGGATGAATCCCTCAGCCCCTGCATTCCCACAGCTGTCTGCAGTCCATTCCGCTCTCACCCCAGCCCTAGGGGAGCACGGCCTCTACACATTTGCCTGGACAATGGGGTGCACACTTTAGGTAAATAGAGTCAGGCAATATGTCGTCTTTTCATCTGGCTTTATGTAGAATAATTTTGAGGTCCATCCATGTAGTAGAAGTCATCAGTATTTCATTCCTTTTTATTGCTGAATACTATTCTATTGTAAGGATATACTATTTGTTTATCTGTTCACCAGACGATGGACATTTGGACTGTCTACAGTATAGGGCTATGAAATCATGCTGCTATGAATAATCATGCACATATCTTTGAGGCACGTATTTTATTTTTCTTGGGTAGATTCCTGGTAGTGAAATTACTGGGTCATCTGGTAAGATTATGCTTAAATTTAAAATAAATTAACTGTTTTCCAATGTGGCTGTATCATGGCCGGACGTGGTGGCTCAAGCCTGTAATCTTAGCACTTTGGGAGGCCGAGGTGGGCGGATCACCTGAAGTCAGGATTTCGAGACCAGCCTGGCCAACGTGGTGAAACCCGTCTCTACTAAAAATACAAAAATTAGCTGAGTGTGATGACGAGCGCCTGTAATCCCAGCTACCTGGGAGGCTGAGGCAGGAGAATTGCTTTAACCCAGGACGCGGAGGTTGCAGTGAACCAAGATCACGCCACTGCACTCCAGCCTGGGTGAGAAGAGGGAAACTCCATCTCAAAACAAAACAAAACAAAAAACAAATTAGCTGCATCACTTTAGCAAAATATGAACTCCAGTTCTGCCACATCCAACCCTTGGCAGTGTCTGTTTTTTTTTTTTTAATTATGGCAATCCTAATAAGTGTGTAGTTGTATCTCATGGAGGTTTAAATTTTTATTTACTTTTTCAGAGGTAGCAACAGTGGGCAGGAAGAAGAAAAAATAAACTAAAAGCAATTTAAAAAATTTTATTTGTCCAGTAACTCATAATGTTTATCACATTTTACATGTGTATTAGCCATGTAGCCATTTGTATGTCTTATTTGGTGAAATGTTCTTCTTTCCTTTTTTTTCTTGAGACAAGGTCTCGCTCTGTTGCCCAGGCTGGAGTACAGTGGCACGATCTTGGCTCACTGCAACCTCCGCCTCCCAGGTTCAAGCAATTCTCCTGCCTCAGCCTCCCAAGTAGCTGGGATTACAGGCGCGCACCACCACGCCTGGTTAATTTGTGTATTTTTAGTAGAGACGGGTTTTCCTATGTTGGCCAGGCTCGTCTCGAACTCCTGACCTCAAGTGATCTGCCCGCCTTGGCCTCCCAAAGTGCTGGGATTATAAGCATGAGCCACCAAACCTAGCTTTTCAAGTCTTTTACCTACCTTTTTATTAGGTTGTTTTCTTTCTCTCTCTCTCTCTCTCTCTCTTATTTTTTTTTTTTTTTTTTCCGAGACATAGTTTCCCTCTGTCGTCCAGGCTGGAGTGCAGTGGCGTGATCTTGACTCACTGCAACCTCTGCCTCCCGGGTTAAAGTGATTCTCCTGTCTCAGCCTCCCAAGTAGCTAGGACTACAGGCACCCGCCACCACGCCTGGCTAATTTTTGTATTTAAGTAGAGACTGGGTTTCACCATATTGGCCAGGCTGGTCTTGAACTCCTGACCTTGTGATCTGCCTGCCTTGGCCTCCCAAAGTGCTGGGATTACAGGCGTGAGCCATTGCGCCCAGCATCCCCCCCCCCTTTTTTTTTTTTTGAGACAGAGTCTCGCAGGCTGGAGTGCCTTGGTGTGATTTCACCTCACTGCAACCTTTGCCTCCCGGGTTTAAGCGATTCTCCTGCTGCAGCCTCCCGAGTAGCCGGAACTACAGGTACGCGCCACCACGCCCAGCTAATTTTTGTATTTTTAGCAGAGACGGGGTTTTACCATGTTGGTCAGGATGGTCTTGATCTCCTGACCTTGTGATCTGCCCACCTTGGCCTCATTTTTTAATTTTTTAGACAGTGTCTCACTCTGTTATCCAGGCTGGAGTGCGGTGGTGCAATCCTGACTCACTGTAGCCTTGACCTCCTGGGCTCAGGTGATCCTCTAACCTCAGCCTCCCAAACTACAGGCACATACCACCACACCATGCAAAATGTGTGTAGAGTTATCACTGTGTTGCCAGGCTGGTCTTGAACTCCTGAGCTCAAGCGATCTGCCCGGCCAAGAGTCCTATATGTTCTGGGTATAAGTCCTACACCAGAAATACGATTTCCAATCTTTCCCCTTGTCTGTTTTCGTAACTGTATATTTTTGAGCGCCAAAGTTTTTAACTTTAGTGAAGACCAACGAATGAATTTTATGTCTGGTTCGTGCTTTTGGTGTCACACGTGATAATAACTCTTGGCCTAACTGGAGGTCATAGAGATTTTCCCCTGTGTTTACCTCTAGAAATTTTACAGTGTTAGCTCCTACATTGAGGCCTCTGATGCAGTCTGAGTTATTTATGTAAGGGTCCAGGTTTATTGTTCTCGTACAAATTTTCAGTTGTCTCAGTACCTTCAGTTTTCTTTGGGAAGGAGTTGTAAATTACAAATTCAGTTTCTTTTATAGATAAATTATATTTTTCAAATAGTTTCTCCGTTTAATTTGAGTTACAAATGTAATGTACTGGTACATTTTCACAATATCTTAATCTTTTAAGTATCTTTTTTTTTTTTTTTGAGATACAGTCTCACTCTGTTGCCAGGCTGGAGTGCAGTGGCGCGATCTCGGCTCACTGCAACCTCTGCCTCCCAGCCCAGGTTCAAGTGATTCTCCTAATTTTTGTAGTTTTAGAGACGGGGTTTCATTATGTTGGCCAGGATGGTCTCAGTCTCTTGACCTTGTGATCCACCAGCCTTTGCCTCCCAAATGCTAGGATTACAGGCATGAGCCCCTGCGCCCAGCCTCTGTTAAGTATCTTTAGGCTCTGTAGTGATCACCTCTTCTTCCTTTCTCATATTCTCATTCCTCTTTCTCCTTATTCTGTAATCCCAGGGCATTATACATGTTAATGACTTTTTAAAGGATCAGTGGTTTGCTTTGTTGAGTTTCCTGATCTTTTAGACAGGATCTCACTGTTGCCCAAGCTGGAGTGCAGTGGTCCAATCATGGTTCACTGCAGCCTCAACCTTCCAGTCTCAAGGGATCCTCCCGCCTCAGCCTCCCGAGTAGCTGGGACCACAGGTGCATGCCACCACACCTGGCTAAATTTTTTTATCCTTATTTTTTGTAGAGGTTGGGTCTCACTATATTGCCTAGGCTGGTCTTAGACTTCTGGGCTCAAGCAATCCTCCCACCTCAGCCTCCCAAAGTGTTCGGGTGACAAGCGTGAGTCACCGTGCCTGGCCTTATTTTTTTTTAACTTTTTATAGCTCATCTTTACTCTCTTCTCCCATGAACATAACTTCCCATCTCTGCTACATTGGCTTATAATAGTGATTTTTAAGGTATGTAATTTATTTTTTAAATTTATTTTTTACAATTTATTTTCTTTTTTTCTTTTTTCTTTTTTTTTTTTTTTTTGAAACAGAATCTTGCTCTGTCGCCCAGGCTGGAGTGCAG